GGGGCCGCCTGAGCAGTACTTGCATGTGAGTAAGGACATGAATCACCCCTCATACACCTGCCTTTGGCATGATAGATGCATGGATAGTTAGACTTATCAGCGGGTGTCATGGGTTTGGTGGGTTTCCCACCGGTACTCGAAGTGCTGCCTGAACCTTTGGGCTTTTCCTTTCCGGAATCCTTCTTGTCTTTGCTTTCCCCTTTTCCTGTGCTTTTCCCGGTCCCTTTGTTGGGTTGTGTCGAAGAACTAGAACTTGCTGCTTGCTTGGGGTTCGCTTTGGGAGAACCTTTCTCCTTTCCTTTGGTGGCTGTCACCGCAGGAGTTTTCTTCACATGGGTCGGCCCCCGTTTCAAATCATCTCTTAATGACTGGGTATTGGTGTCATGTTGAGCCTCAAGCAAAGCTCGTTCGACCCCTTCCCATAGTGCATCAAATGATCGATTGGGTGAACCAATGGAAGAATCATAATACTTGTCCATAACCCTTCGCATGAGCGGATGGCGCTTGAGTGTGTTGAAGATCCACTGAGACATCAATTCCTCGTTGGGCCTTTGACCTACAGGGAGTTGACTCAAGATGTACACTACCCGATCACGCCAATGTCTGAGGGCGGCTGCTGAATCCTGAGGCACCGGGAGTTGGAACAATTCCAATGACGAAGTGATTGCACCTGCTGCCACTGAAGTGTCAAATTCTCTCGAAACCAGATTCACTATGTAGCGACCTCTGACTTGTTGGGATGTCGACTCACACAGTTCGACGTAGGACTGAATTTTCAAACCAAATGAGGTCTTCAATGCTTCGGGCTTACACAACACTGATGCGATAACTCTATCCAATCGAGGAAAATCCCCTGACGAGGTTCTAAGCAATTCAGCTTGTTGACCCCGGGCTTGAAATGCTGGATTGAGCCAATCATTGAGTAACCCCTCTGGGCTATGATCATATGACAGCAACATGGTTCGAACAGCATTCTTCCACGATCGAAATTGAGACGCTGAATCCGGCAATGTCGGTAACTTCAAGTGATGGAGATCTTTGGTCCTGAGTGCTCTTCGTTCCACATCATCTGGTTCACCAACACTACTAGGACAACCAACACCGAAGAGATTGGGGTTCTCTTGATCATCATCTTCTTCCCCAACCGGCTGCATATGAAAACCTATTGGCATTCTGGTAGCGGGATCCTGATTATCCAACCTGACAACTGGCGTCGTGCTTCCTTCTTGCAACACTTGTGGCGCAGGAGCTTGCTGCATCCAAAGATCCTGGATATACTCTTGATGGGTATCCAATTTGGATTCAACTCTGGTAAGCTGCAATTCGAGGCCATCAAGTCGTTGGATGATCCCTTGCATCTCCGTTCCATTGAGGGATAAAAGGTTTTGTGTTTGGGTTTCTCTAGCTCTTTCTGTGTGTTCACTCTGTGCAATCGAAGCTTGCAACTGTCCTCGAACCCATTGATTCTCTCTGGTCATGTATTCCACTTGAGCCCTTAGTCTGCTAATCTCATTCATTGCCTCAGCCCTAGTTGATTCAGCATCAACCCTTGCTTGTGCAACAGCCTGAGCTGCTTCGACCTGTACCCCAGCCACGACTGAAGCTGCTTCGGCTCTCAACCCGGAGGTCGCTGCCGATGCCGCCAAGTCACCAATCATGTTAGGGTCTGGACCATGCACATGCTGCTGAAAATGAATGGACCTTTGATCTAAGTTCACTGTTCTCTGATCCTGATAAACTTGAGTAGATGATACCTCCCTAGTATCAACCATCACTTCATCATGATTCTCTTGGCGGTTCATCTGAACTGCATAGTTCCCTGGACCAAAAGAAACTGGATCATGAGATGTGGAGTTTCCCAATGGGTTTCTAGGCATGGGCAACAACGATGCTGACCCTCTCTCCAAACTATCCGGGGAAGCGGTCGGCCTTTCCATGTCCGTCAACATCCTTCCTCTTGGGGGTCGATGTGAAGGAGGATAAGGTGAGCTGGATTGCCTCTTCACCGGAGTGATGGATCGATTTCTGGGTCTTCGTGTCGAATCACTAGACTCCTCTATCTCGGTGCCGGCTGCTTGCGCAGGTATTCCGAAATTCTGGCTGGTGGATGAATTGGTTGAAGTCAAATGAAGACTGGATGAACTGGTTTCTTCTGCCATGCACTCCCCAACAACCTACTTGTGACCAAGTTTCCAAGAAGAAAACAACCGCTTTGGCCCCGTCAGCTGCTCCCGCGCAAGCGCAAGGGTAGACCAGCTGCGATCCTAATCAGTCGTGAAGATACCTGGCCAAGCAGGAAATTCCTTAGGGACCAGTCCACGACGTGTCACCTCTGCCAGGGCTTTCGTGAGGTCTTCCACCACCACACAACCAGGGGGCAAATGCCTTGGGGGATTTCTGCAAAGAAATGGATTCACAAGAATGGTATCCAATCCCCTTTCCGAAAGCTTCCAAGCGAGATCCAACCGATCGTCAATATGGATCGAGACAGTTCTTGGATTCAGAAGTGGCTTAGCCTTGTCCGAGTCAATCAACAATCGCAACTGAGTATGGTAATCACTGTTAAAGCGATGTACCTCTGACACAGCCGATTGACGTCGAGCTTGAGAAGATGGTCCGGCACGGCCTATGTAAGAACAGATACCTGCCTGGTGGTAGCGGCTTTTGTGAAGCCAGTTACACAACGATGACCGGGCAGTACGTTCAAAACGACCCTCCACTTCAGTGTTGAGATCCAGAACCCCGTGTAAATCCACACTGATTCGAATGAAGCAGTTGGCACTTGGCGCCGCTGTTCGTTCCACTGGGATGTGTGCAGCCGGTGACAAACCCACAACCGGATCCGAGATACGTGGCCTAGCTTTGGGGATGACAGCCTTGGGACTCACCGCAGAAACAGCCTTTGCAACAACCGGGGTAGCCTTTGGTTCCACAGGAGCAGCCTTAGCTTCTACCGTTGGTACGAGTTCCAAAGACACAGTAGGGCTTACCGGTTCCACAGCAACCGCCTTGGCCTTAGGGGATCTCTCACCCCTTGGCAGCTCCAATTGCCGCTTTGCTGGTGAAGCCTTCTTCTTAGAATCACTACTCGAACCTGCCTGTGGATTTTCAGACAACGCCGGTGCTACCAAGAACTGGGTGATGTCTCCAACAGGAGATGAATCAACTGTATCCACAACTGCCCTTGATGCACTCGATGCTGCAAGTTCCCCCCTAACCTTTTCCACTCGAGCCAGCGACGCTGACCCAGTGGGGGCTGACTTGGGATTGTGTCGACCCTCGAGGGTTTCCCTTGCTAAAGCCTCAGACTTTCTAGTCTTCTTACCCCCACGCTCTCCACGAGGCATACAAGGCTCTATCCAGAACGCAGGCCAGACCAGTCTGCGGCGCAAGCCGCAGTAGAGCTGCAACGGAGCAGCAGCGAGGCAGCTATGGCCAGATGAGACCACAAACCAAAACAAAGTAAACACACAAGAACCAAATACGGCTGATAACCACGTTTTAGTGGCTTCAGCACCCTTTTCAACCTTGAGCCAAAGATCAAGTAAGACGATTAGTTATCGTCACAGCTATGGCAAACTGAATTCCTACCAAGTGAAAACAGCAGGTTTATCCCCAAGTGATTCTCGTCACAAGAGTCAGTCAGAAGAAGGAGCAAGCACGCCTACCGCTGGCATCTGCATTGGCTCTGGTGCATGCATTGAGTGCATCAGTTCAAGCACCTTAAAGTTGAGGGCCTGCAAGCATATTCACCATTTGACAGCAGGCACTTTCTGAAGCCCGAACTAACTTGGAAGGGCTTGCAAAAAAACAACATGTGCTGAGAACATCTTATTGTGTATCTCTCGATCAGCCTTCGCAGGAAGTTGTTCCCGCACAAGGCCTGGTGGCATGGCAAAAGGCTTAACTATACATGACATTGACCCTTGTACTTAGGGAGAACTTTGCATGTCCATGGCGACACTGCTTTTCAGATAACAAGATGCGAGCCTCAAAGCGGCCATTGTCTTGCATTCCGGGAAAGGAAAAAAAACAGTCTTGCAAGGACGCTACTAGGAGCAAAGGGCCTCACTACTAGGAGCAAAGGGCCTTACTACTAGGAACAAGAAGCTAGTAGAAACAATATATAAATTAGAATTTCTTTAGAATCAAATTAAAATGTCAGGAATGACGATGCACCGGTGCATGTGCTTACAGGATCGGGTAGGCCCAGGGGCCTGTGCAGCGAGCTGGCAAGCGGACGCGAGCCAAGCCTCAGTTCGATCTGTCATCAATTGAGGCAAATCCTATGAAACATTCTTTGAGGTCAAATGAGTCAAAGGCCATTGCTATTAGGTTTGAGGGGTCAAATAGCAATGGCCTCCAACCTAGAAGCGATGGCCTCCAACCTAATAGCGATGCGGCCAAAATATGCTGGAAAACAGTGCCATTTGGTCCAAAACCCGGCCTCTGAGCAGGTACATAGCTGCTCAGCCTTTGTGTTTGCAGGTGATAAAGTCACGTGCCTCTGCCTGGGGGCATCGATACTGTGCATTTACAGCAATTTACCCTGCTTGTCGATGCACCACCGCTTTCCTTCTCATGATCAGGCAAAGGCCAACTTGTTGTGCCCTCATTCTTGTGTACTGTGTACTCCTGTTGAATATGCAGGAATCACTTGAGCCTCAAGACAAGGAAATGTACGGAGCTGTTGCTGCTGGAACGGGCGTGGTTTGACAATCCTCAAATGGTGCATTTGCCGAGACTCTTCCCTTGTGCCTCAAGAGCCATACAGCCAGCAATGCCTCCTTGTCCTGCTAGATGTTAGGATCTGATATAACCAGCTTCGCAAGAGAGACCCTCTCCTTGTCGCTGCTGCAAACCAATTCCTGAAACAAAGCAATTCCACCCCATGATACAATGCAAGCTCGCCAAGAGATTAGGCTACTCTTTTGCTTCATTTGGTGCACAAACGGTCGTGCCCCACACATGCTTCAGCCCACTCACAGGTGCCTTGAACTCTAGGGTCTCTGGTAGCTTGGCTCGAGGAGTTGCTGGTATATCCTGGTCATTTCTGGTAGTGAATCGTCCCAGAAGGCTTGAAGAGCAATAGACATAGTCTCCTCCTTTTCCTCATCCCTGGACTGGTTGGTCTCTTTCGTCAGGTCCACAGTGAAGACAGCACGGGACCTCAGCACGAAAAGCGGTTGAAATGTTCCTAATAGCTTCTTGTTCCTAGTAGTACGGCCAGGAGCCCCTAGTAGCATCCTTGTTCCTAGTAGTACGGCCAAAAGCCCCTAGTAGGGTCCTTGCTCCTAGTAGCGATGCCAGGAGCCCCTAGTAGCACTCGAAGAATGCAGTCCAAAGGCGGTAAATGAAATTAGTTTGTCCTAACTTCAATGTCAAAGCAACCACCTACATTTCTGAGCAAGACTGTCAATCAATGGCATCATCCGATGCTATGTGCGTGTGTGTATAGTGTGTATATATATATATATGTATGTAGGTATACATGTAGACGATGCTCCACCAAAGATCCATTCTGAAGATTTTGAAGGATGTCACGCATATCTGCAGGAAATTCCAGCTATGTATGTCTTTCCTTAACTTTCGGAATGTATTTGTCTGGTCCAGTGTTCTTTGTTCAATCATTTAGCCTGTCCAGGTTTCTTGCACCTGATGCATCTGACTGTCACAAAAGCTGCACAGGCTCAAACAACATTGAAAAAAAACAAGTGTTTAGATGACAATCCACGTAGACTTCACTAGCCCTCAGAACTTTTGTGGATTTTGTTGAGCCTGCCAAAGCTTTCTCCCCCATCTGACCTTCACAAAAGCTGCACATGCTCAAAAAATGCTTTGGCAGGTCCTTTAGACTGCCGAGTTGTCATTTGTCGTTTGTTTTTGAACCTGTCAGGTTTTGTGAGGTTCAACCACTGAAAGTTGGTGACTCCTGTTGAGTCTGTTGCAGTTCTCTGCACCTTTCCTGAATCCAACCTTCACAAAAGCTTCACAGGGGCGTAAGTCAAGTTGACATGATTAAAATAATCTCTCTGATGTCTTGCTGGGCCATGCGGCTCCCGGAACTTCAATCGAGACATCAAAGCCCCGACCTGGACATCAAAGCAAACATACAAATTCAAATACTGTAGACTGTTGATGACTGTATAGTCTTGCAGCACGATCAGCAACAAGACATGCATCTTCTGTTTGGTCACCACCACCTTGTTTTGTCTCCTTTTGGGTCTGTTGAGAAACGGATCACCTGCAACATGACCTACCAAGACCTGCTAAGACATTATTTGTTTAAGCCGGCCCTTACTTAATTGGGTAGGTGCCTGCTTAATTAAGTAGGGGCGACTAGTTCGCTCCTAGTAACTGGATGCAGGATAGCTCACGCTTCTTCAAGGAAGCTCCCCCTGAAGAAAAAGCGCTCGCACTAATGATTTGGTTCCTAGATTCTTAGGAAACTTACTTGAGAAAAGACCAACCTCTGTCCCTTGGATCTTGTCTGCAGAAGCAAATTAGGCTTGAGATACTGCAACACCAGGCGAAGAAACACTTGTAGAATCTGAACAGTTTAAACCCATAGTACAACTTCTAGACCGAAACCAGAACATGGAAAGCGAAAGCGCCGTCTTTCTCACATATGGAAAGATATCCAGCCTTGCCAGCTCCCTCTTCCCCACCTAAGCATTGGGGTGCGGAAGCAAACTAAAATCCCCAAGTGCGCGTGGCAGCATGTGGCCAAGCGCGTGTTGCTGACTGCATGCAGTGAATGTGAGTGCATCCCGGAAAAGTTTCAGTGTGCTTCGGAGAGAAGCCTTTGACAAGGCATGACAAGGTTATCCTCTTCTTGATCCATGAAGATGTCCGGTGTTCTGAGTGTCTACTCTTAGCAAGGACAGTTCGAGTTGTAAGGCAATTGAGAAAGAATTGACATTCAATGATCGCATCCCCCGAGCCTCGTTCAATAAAAACGAGATTTATGTATAAATATGTGCATATATATATATGTATGTACACTAAGGTGATGGCGTTGTGCGCGAGGATCCAACGTCAAAGTTGCTGAGAAGACGAAGGTTTGCAACCTAAGCAAACAGAAGTCGCTGGCATGTTTCAGAAGCTTCTGCATCTGCCTTGGAACTGGTGCATTCTTGGATCAAGGCTGTTGAGGTCGGTCGATGGACTGGTACCTGAGCCCACAGAAGACAGCCAGACTCTGCGAACCCAGCCGTTCATAGAGACAGCAGCAGCCACTTTTTCGCTCAAAACTGGAGACATTGCTCCACATCTTCCTGCCAGATGTCATGATGGGCAAAGCAGCATAGCAAAGAAAGAGGAGGCGGAGTGCATCGGGCAGGCGCTGGTCGACTGATTGCAGGGCTTTCTGGAGACATGCATGGTTCTTGGAACACGTTGGCAAGGCCCAAGCAGGAGCTCAAGGATCTTGTCCAGTTCCTTGAAGTGTCCAGACTCGACCAAACGATCTGCCTCCGCAACGCCCGGCCACCCCAGGCCCCACAAAGTCAAAACCATAAGGCTCCATGCATATGAGCAACATAAAGCCAAGACAAAAATTAATTGGAACCGAAACAAATCACTCTAAACAAACCAGTGGTAGAATAAAAGTATATCAGTATATCTCATTCAAACCATGAGGTGTCAGGTAGCAAAAGGGTTCGCCCTCTTGAACAAAGGTTGGTACACTTCTCGTGCGTGTCACCTTGCGCAGGTCGGCCAGCGCCTTTTCTCTATGGCTCGAACGGACGGTGTTCGTCCTCCAAACAAAAGCCAAGTATGGCCAAAGGGGTCCCTTGAGTTCACAGGATCGCGGTGCGGCGGTTGTCAGTGAAGTGTCGTGCTGACATGTCTGAACCTGAAAAACTCACATGCCCCGAACCGTCGCACAGCAGGTCCGTGAATGAGGGATCTTTCAGGCTATCTACCTCAGCTTTCAGCGGCAGCGGCCCAGCTGCTCGGAGTCGCTTTGCAGCGGTGAAGGTGCTGTCGTAGACCAGGTTCCATCTCTGGCCGCTGGACAGGAACTTGGTGATCTTGTCCTGGGCGCTCACCTTCGTCATCCCATCCGCCAACTGCTGGTCCGAATTGCACCAGCGCAGAATGGTGGATTGATCCACCAAATGCTGGCTCAGGCCAAGCACTTCCAAGGCAGTGTGCTTCTCCTTGGCGGACATGTTGGGAATGTCCTCCTGTTGAAGGAGGTCGAACAGCGCCTTTGCGTCCACCACCAGGACGCCAGGAGTCAGGCGGGAAGTCGCCCATGGTGAAGCCAGCGTAGCTTCTCGGCCAAGTAGCTCCTGCCACAAAAAGCGCACCATCATCAGCTCAGCCTCGCACTCGGACAAGGCTTGTGCTTCCGCTGCCAAGCTTGAACGGCAGACTCTTCGGAGCTTATGGGTGCTCTAGCTCATGATGCTCACTGGGCCTTGATGGCCATCCAACATCTTCTTGTTGACAAAGCCGATGACGTAGCCACCGGTGCTGGAGAGATCGCACCGATTCGCCAGAGCAGCATCTGACCATCCCACGGCCACAATGTCCTCGTCGGAGGTGGCCTTGAGGTCATACACAGTGACGCCGAGCTCCTTCTGGCTGTAGATCTCCTTGACGAAGCGGTTGATGTCCTTCAAGGTGTTCCGGTCACCTTTGGGCAGCATGCTTTGGAGATGGCTCAGCTTCGAGGAATGCTGAGGGCCGCTTTGGTAGCAACGCCATTGCGCTGCTCCTAGGACTGCACGGCACTGATGCCGCTCATGCTCCGTCAAGTCCTTGGTGAGGCCATCTTCAGTCACCTGGTTGATCTCCTGGCAGAAGGCCTCTTGAGTGAGGTGCCAATGCCCATGAATGCTCTGCTCCATGTTGACTCCACAATGATGGAGAGGAGCACATTCCCAGGGACTCCATCGGAGCCGTCCATGAAAGGCTTCCAGGAAACCAATCCATTGCGAATCCCTTTCGTCCCCGACTTCGACGCCCTTGGCAACCTTCTTTGCCACAAACTTGGAAGGGTCCTTGGCGATGGCTCGCCATTCCGCCTCACTGGCGGGCGCCGGCAAAGTGACCGCAAAGACATAGTCCTCCATCGCCAAATCCTCATGGGCGTCTGCTGCTAGGAGAGCTCCACCTTCACTGCCGGTGCCCCGTTGCTGTTGAAGGTATTCTTGACGTTGCGCCGAATGAGGTCGTTCAAGAAGTTCATGTCGTCGTCGGGCTTCAAGGAATGGGCGGTGCTGAAAGAGAGGGCCTTGTTCAGCCGTCCCAAGTGGTAGGTAGGAAGGATCACCTACCAATCGAGCAGGGTGTAGCTCATCTTGGACCTGATCTCGAGGGTCCAGTGAAGGCGTGTACTCCTCCATGTCGATGTCGGGAGCATCAGGATCATCATCTGCAGCTGTCTCAGCTGGCAGGAAAGAAGTTCCTCTGGAGGTCTTTCGCACCTTCTCAGGGATCTGTTGGTGCCCCGTCGACGCTGAAGCGGTCGAACTTTCAAGCGCTCTTTTCATCTCAGCGCGTCCGGCTCGCTCTTGTTCATCTAGAAGACGACGAGCAGCTTGGGCTTGTTCTCGAAGTTGAAGGTCGGTGAGCAGTTCATCATCATACTCGCCCTTATTGATCAGTCTGGAGAGGTTCTGGAAAGTCCATGGCAGCGTCAACTGAGTTGTGCTCTCTGCCACCAAGCGTTCACGCTCTGATGCGTGTCGCATCTGATTGAAGTGGACCTTCTTGAGTCTCCCAGCTGCGATCAGCCAAGCCACATGGTGAGGTTGTCGAACATGTCCATCATAGGTCACCTTGGTCTCGCATGCCAAGACTCTGGCAGGGCCGTACCATCGGGCAACGCGTCTTCGAGGAACATCAAGTTCTTGATGAGAGCGCTCTTGTCGATCTGCAGGAGGTTGGTAGCGCTTGTAGAAGACGAGATCGCCAGGGTCGAACCTCACAGGCCTTGCCATCTGGGGATCTCACGGTGGCGCTTTTCGGCTTCCAAGCGAGTCTCCAGTTGCCGCTGCATGCGAAGAGAGCTGTTCATTCCTGACCAGTATGGAAGGTCAGGTGCTTCATGCAGTCGTCGTTCGGAATCAGTGAAGTTCCGGCCAAAGACCCATTGGGCAGGTGCATAGCCACCAATGTTGGTCATCTTGTTGTGAGCTCCCAGCATGGCCCAAAGTGCAACTTCTGGAGAACTAGAGGAAGATCTCAGATGAGCCATGAGCTTTCTCTTGAGGGCGCCGATGAGGCGTTCAACATGTCCCAACTGTCCGTGGCTCTCCGCAGGGATGGCGTTGATCTCGATGCCATGACCTTCAGCCCATTCTTCCAGAATGCGTCCACGATGAGCACCCTCCTTGTCCAGCTTGATCATGCGAGGGTGCCCGAAGTACTGCACCCATGTGCGGTGGAAAGCTTCAATCACTTCAGGCGTGGTGGCGTTTCGACTGTGGCCAGGTAGCGCAGGATGAGTGAAGAGCAAAAGCTCCTGCCCCGTAGCCTGAAGCTTCATCGATGATGATCTGGAAGTTGTAGGTGGTGTCGCCAATCGTCACCTCCATGTTATCCAGCTGGATCACTTCCCACAGCTCAGTGGCCGTCTCCAAAGTGGTCGCTCTTCTCGCAGGCGGAATTGCCGCTTCCTGGCAATCTTGACAATGCACCAGGTTGGCCAATGTGCGAAGCAATTTGCTAGCTCCACGATCTCGCAGCATTTTGGTCATGGCCTGTCGACTCGGATGTCCAAGCTTCCGGTGGAGTTGAAGCAATTCCATGGCAGCCTTCTGGATCTCCTGGTCAGTGAACTCCTTGAGGGTATCCAGGTCATAGTCATCGGACTCCTGGACGGCAAAGCTCTGGGCCTCTTTCTCGTCAAAGATGTCGAAGAGGATCTTGGCAACTTTCTTGCACATCTTCTCAGGGTACAGAGCTGACTGCCGAGTCAAGTTGCCACCTTCACAAGGAGTGTGTGGAGTAGTGCACTGACATAACTTCTGCATCTGCCAGACATGGCGTGAGGTGCTGCGAAGTTTCCAAGGCTTCTTGATCAGGCCTCCATCGGAAGTCTTGAGGTCGTAGGCACAGCCATCCAGCATCGCCTCATGGTAGTTCACCTTCTGCCAGAAGTTCTGGACGGAGTTGAACTTCCAGCCGTTGTTATAGCGTGGCCATTCTTGGATGACGTCACGGCCAGCTTGGACCTGAATGGTCAGAAGGGTGAAGGCTCTGGTTGCCAACTTCTTAGAGCGGGCGATCTTCTGCTGGATGTTCTGGTAACCTTCAGGAGTCATCATGTTCAGCTCCTGAATTGGTGAAGTCGGGCCACAAGGTAGTGCAAGCCAGATCACGTCGGGCTTCTCCGTCTCGATGAGGTCCTTCACCTTGTTGAAGCCACTGCGTTTCATCAGGTCACACCCATTATGGAGTCCGCAGCGAATGCCTTTGCCTCCGCGAGCTTCAACTGCTCGAGTGATGCCGCTCTCAGGTTCGCAGCACAATTCCAGGATGACCGGCATTCGTCGTCCAGGGTTCAAGGCATGGAAGGGTGCAAAGATGTCTTCCACAGCCTGCTGGTACTTTTCGGTCTCATTGATCAGAAAAGCGGTCTCCTCCGAATCGAGGTGGTTGATCATCTCCTCCTCGCCGGTGGTGTGACTGGTGTGACACTTCCGTCTTTTCGAGGGAAGCGAACTTGGCAAAATGCCATCATCAAAACCTGCAGCGGGCGTCTCCTCATCCACAGGAGTCATAGTCGCCGGTCGCCGCGAAGAGGAGGAAGTAGATCGTCCAAAAGATGCCATAGAGCTCGACAGTGCCATGGTTTGAGAAGGTTTTGGCATTGAATTCCGTGTTGGTGAAACCGTGGTGCTTGGATCCGGAGGGATGCCATCAAGCATGTCTTCATCGTTCACTCCGGTGCGCTGACGAGAGACCAAGATTTCTCCGTGCCCGGCTCCCGAGTCTCGTACTCCAGCGCCTCGGCTGGTTCCTCCGGCTTTCGGCTCTTGCGGCCTGGGGTGATGCTCATCTCGGGATAGCCGTCGCTGGGAAGAGGACCTTGTGAAAGCATCAAAGCAGATCTCACTAGGTCGTGGTCCGAACTCCTGTCTCCCTTGCCCTTGGTGGTGTCCTTGCCCTGTTCGGTCGGCTGGAGGTGGTCCTTGATCTTGACCTGATCTTTGTATTCCTGGGTTTTCAACCAATCCAGCTTCTTCTGCTTCACCTGGGCAAGCTTGGTCTCGAGGGATCGCTCCTGGGCGTCGTAGGAGATCTTGTGGTTGTTGAGTTCGGGACTGCCCTTCTGAGGCTTCTTCTCCTCGATCTGCTTGCGAGTGTCTTGGTCCAACGGTCCTGCCTGTCGAGTTTTGCCGTGGCTGCCCCAAGTGGGTGTGTAGCTCAGTCGTAGACCACAGCCCTGGCAGGCTTTCCAAATCGCGAATTTGTTCGATCCGCTCGGTGACCCTCTCCCTGGTGGAGCTTCGACATGCTCCCCATGGCAAGGACCTCCTGTCGTCCGAGGGTCCCTCGGATCGGGCCCCTGAGTACGCTCCCAGTCGTACTTCTCGTCGGCTGCCAACCTCGCCTTGATCTTGTCCACCTCCGTGGTCTTCTTGGGTGCCATGAAAGGCCGAGGTGAGGGCAGCTGTCGTGACAAGAGCTGCCAGTATGCGGTCCCGCATAGCTTGATCTGAGTGTTGCAGCGGTCGGAGCGAATGATCCGGGTTCATGAGGTATGCAGCTTCATCAGCAACAACTGTAGGTGGAGAATCATCATTGCCCACATCTTCAACCATGCATACGTGATCCCAGGGTGCACAATCACAAATGAAAGACAAGCACTGTGTACAGAAAAATGGAAAAGTGCCACTCAACGAAGTTTCCGGTGATTCTGGTGGGTTGTCACTTGAAAGGATCTCTTGGGCCTCGTTGGTGATGTTACCTTCAGAGGTCTCGGACGTGGTCTCGGAGGTCGACGACGACAGCTCGCACCATATTTGCTCTCTCGGACTGGTGCGAAGGTAGAGCTAAAGCCTCGCTCACGTCAAGCCAGTCCTTCGTGAGGTCGATGAGGAGGTGACCGGCACGACTTCGTTGAAGTGGTACCTTTTGGTTTGGGGCCACATTAGCCAACACCATCCACTGCCCAGCCACGTCGATGATGGCGCCGAGCTTCGTGAGTGTCTTCATTCCCACCAAGATGGGGACACGTTCAGCGTCGATGGTGAAGAGCCCCAAGGAGACCGTCTGGTCACCTAACCTCTGAGGGATCAAAGAAAACTGAACTCCACCGTTGCCGAAACGAAAAGGTCGCTGATAGGCGGCATCATGGTAGACGTCCACCCATTGGTCGCCAAGCAGGTGCTCTCGCTTGCGCATCAAACCTTCCAGCGCCTCCAAGCTTCCAACCGTCTCGGTGGCTCCAAGATCAAGCACGCCATAGCCAGTGGTGTCCGTCACCAGGGAGCTGTCAGTGGCGTCAGCCGTCATGCCAATGAAGTCCAATGAACTAGGTGTCATGGACTCCAACCAAAAGGTGCCTTTGTGTCCACCTTTTCCTTTTCCATTCGACTTGCCACGTTGAGGGCAATTGCGAAAGCCGTGGCCATGGTCGCCACAGATGAAGCATCCCGTACCAGTAGTCGTCGAACTGCTGGCAGTGCCTTTGGCCACGAACAAAGGTCTCGTGGAGGTAGAAGAGCTGGATGTCAAACTTGATGAAATAGATTTGCCCTTCTTGGATTTTCCTTTGCCTTTGCCCTTCTTGCCCTTCATCATGTTCAAGGGGTAGAAGCCCCGTGATGCACCTTTGGCACGTTGAAACTGCCGGCTCTGTTGAAAGGTGCGGGCTTTGGATTCGTAGTTCAGGAAGGCTTCCTCCAGCTCCTTGTACTCTTCAGGGTTGAGGTCGCTCCAGTTGTCTTCGGATGCCCAATAGGTGCCGAAGCCATCAGTCTCCATCCAAAGTCCTTGGTCCCAGACATAGCCATGCCAACCATCAGACTCCCAGCTCCAGTAGACTTCATCGTCATCGTGAAGGCTATCACCACCACTGCTGGGAGAAGGACCAGGATCATATACATCAGGAGGTAGTTTGGCACCTACCCAGTGAATCTCATTGGTGTCCTCATATCCATCTTCGACCGGTGAGGCAAGCAATCCCCACTGGCCATCTTCTTCGACCCAATAGGTCCGGCGTCGTCCATGAGGATGTCCACGTTGAAGGTCTGCTTGAAGGAGTTCTTCTTCTTGATCTCGAAGTGCAAGTTCAATGTCGGAGAACTTCAGGCTGTTGTTGACGGAAGCCTGAACAGAGAGTCGGCTGCTGGCACTGAGGTTGGCTCGTCTCAAGAGTAGCCAACCCAACACTTCATCAGGGAGTACGGAGATCTCCTCAACCTGCAACTCATCCCATGGAAGATCTGGACTCATCATCCCATTGGCGCTGCTGGTTCTTGCGCCATTCTTTCCATTCGGCTTCAGACCATCCTTGTCCTCGCCAATCTGCTTCTTCATCAGGATCATCCTGAGGAACAGGTTCATAGTCCTCAGGCACTGCACCAGTCTCATGACCAGCTGCCGTAGGGCTCGTCGAGGGTCGCTGTGTCGGACTTGTCGGTGATCGATGTGTCGGACTTGTCGTGGGCCTCAAAGGTGTCCGGGTTGGAGAGTCCGGCTGACTTGGAGGTTCATGCTGGGGTTCAGAGACACTGCGTCCATCACTTTCCTTGGGCTTTGAGGGTTGCTGTTGACGAGCACGAATGAGAGCTCGCTGAACCTTGCGGTAGGACTCCAAGAGCTCGTTCGCCCACTGACTCATGGTCATGCCCAAAGGACGGCGCAACCTGATGAGCAAGTCCTCAAGCCGTGCACCGGCGTCTGGAATTGCCGTTCTGCAGAGGCGATCTTGAAGATATCGAAGTAGATACTTCGTGCCGTTGCGCTTCCCCAACTTCTTGTGGTCCAAGGAGGGCGTCACCGCCCAGGCCCGATCGGTGAGCCTGGACGCCAAGTCTGGTCCAAGAAGTCGTCGTTTGTGCTTGGGAGTCATCTCCCATTGAAGTCTCACCTTGCGAGCGTAGTCTCCCCAGGTGGAGGGCTCGCCGTTCCATGAAGCCACTTCCTTGGAGGTCTTAGATCCCGACATCGCCACAGCCCAAGCCAGGCCACCCAAGAGGAACCAGAAGGGAGTGAGGAACAAGTAGTACGAGCGTAGTCGTGGTCACAGCCACCAATCTCGGAGTGCAGAGCGTCGGGCTCGAGGTCGTTGTAGTCAGCTATCCAAGCTGGAGCCAGGCCCAAATCGTCCTGGCTCCGCTACCAATGTCAGGTAGCAAAAGGGTTCGCCCTCTTGAACAAAGGTTGGTACACTTCTCGTGCGTGTCACCTTGCGCAGGTCGGCCAGCGCCTTTTCTCTATGGCTCGAACGGACGGTGTTCGTCCTCCAAACAAAAGCCAAGTATGGCCAAAGGGGTCCCTTGAGTTCACAGGATCGCGGTGCGGCGGTTGTCAGTGAAGTGTCGTGCTGACATGTCTGAACCTGAAAAACTCACATGAGGGTCGAACCTGTGATGAATCACCAAAGTACCATCCTTTGTGGTGACTTTGGGTTTCCAGAACACTTTCCTGCCGCTTAAGATCTGCAATCCTAACTCAACAGAAACACATCTACTACAAACTTGTTGCCTCTTAAAGCGCAACTCCATTGTGACTCGTTTTGTATTCTTTCACGTGAGGTGTCAGGGGTACTAACCGAGCAAACCTTTCACTCCATTGCAGTCACTTGCTGAAACTTAAGCGTCATCGGATCTATGAGGTTTTTGAAGGATCCTTCAGGCCCTTCGCCGGCCTCATCAAGGACAAGATGTCTCACATTCTTCAAGCCTTCCCTCAGCCACTCGCACTTATCATCCTCGCACAACCGGAGAGCTGCTGAGTGGCCGCTGGTACTTCTATTCAATGGAAACAAACATATGACCTTATATTGCGCAAGAAGGAGTTGCTTCCAATAAAAACTGTTTGTCAATCTTCTGCAGTCAACAACTGCACCCTGACCTCCTCACCCATCCCAAGCAAAGCAAATATCCGGCCAGGCGTGCCCACCTCAGCCCGAATCATTCTGAAACTGCCGTCTATTCTATGGATTCTGTGGATCTGCCAACTTAGAACAAATAATAAACTTGCCTGATCACAGGATAAAACCTGAATTGAGTGCAAGAACCAACAAAGAAGGGCAGAGCTTTCTCTCCAATACGGATCCTGGTCAGGAAGCCGCACCACCACCGCAGGTTTTCTGCGCAAAAGCCGCCTTGCAGTGGCTGTTTTGAACTATGTAGGTGTGTCTTCTTTGTTTCGGACTGAGTTGGAGCATGACATCAAACAATGCATAAAGCCATTTAACCTTTCAACTTTGCTGTCTAACAAAGCATCTGAGAGTCCCACTTCTGCTTCTGGGTGGACATGCCTGATTTTGGGCTCAAAATGCCCAGCGATTGAAAGACCTGCTATGATGTTTCCGTTTCCCATTCTCACCTCACAACATTGCACTACACCCAGCCTCCGACCAAGCACTCTGTACGGATTGGGGTGCACTGTGCTACGGCATTCAAATGCGCCTGCACCTTGGGAAAGGCAAGCAAAGTCTGCTATTGCCATTAAGAGTACAGCCATGCCGATTGTCGTGGTCAAGAAAACAATGTATCTTTTCATATATACAACATAGAACCTTGGCTTCACGCTTGCAAGGCATGTGTCAAGATCTGTACACCATACAATTGTATCTACAAATCGCTGCACGGCTTTTTGTCTCAAGCAATCCTTCTGGCCATGATGCGGTCCTGACACGGGAGCTTTGTGAACTCATTGGGACTTTGTTCAAAGCAATATAAGTCACTCACAGAATCACATCTCAAAGCAGTCCTCTTTGGTTCGACCCTCATTCTCCACCTTTCCCTGAGCATGAGTCTAGCATTTCACCTAGGACTCTCATTTCGTGTGCACTTATCGATACATGGGCAAAGGGTTTCAAAGGCAATTTGAAGCTGTTCAACAAGTGTTTTACTCGCAAACTGGGACAGCAGCAAACAAGGGGCCTGCCTGCGCTACAGCTTCTATGGTCTTTGTGTCGACGGACTTCTCTCCCTTCTTTACCTGTTCATAAAGAAAGTTGAGCCTTTGATGATCGTTAGGAAAATCATGACTGTTCACTGTGGAAGCATCAAGAAATGCCTCTCAAAGTGAGCCATTCTTTGGGCGAGTGGGTGTGCTACATACACGAATCCACGAATCATACCCCAGTTTAAGCTACCAGTGGCTGCGGGCGGGGAATATTTCGTCAAAAGGGGCCAACGGACACCATACGTTATATTATATATATGTGTGTGCTAGGCTAGGTTAACCTCTGCAAAACAGTCGAACAAATTGCTCACAACTAGCATATTATCATACTATCAGGGGCTGAGTGCGGTCCAAGCTTGTGAAGGTCGTCTGCTTTGTGGTTCTCAAGGTTTTATGTGCCACAGACGGTTCAGAGCTTAAACGGGTTTTGCATCAAACCTAAAAATTCATTGATGGAGCTGGGAGTTGCATTGGCAAACATCTAGTTGAGAGTTGAGAGGCGCTGGCTTCACATAGAGTTGAAAAGCTTGGTGGAGTCACTATGGACGGAGTCATTTCGGACACAATGACTTTTGGCACACCACGGCTTTGAGCCGATCAAACTTGCATCTTGAAATCTCTCTTCAACCGTTATATCGATCAAACCTAATAGCTTCTTGCTACTAGTAGCTTCTTGTTCCTAGTAGTAAGGCCGGGAGGCCCTAGTAGCGTCCTAGGAGCCCCTAGTAGATTTTTGATAATATCGATATTAGCTCTTTGAGACAATACAATATCGACAGTGCTTTCCCACAGAGATCTCAGGTAGCGGAGCTAGCCTTCGTGAACAGTCGTGCTTCCAAGAGAAAGTCTACAGTGCCACAGACTGCTGTGATAAACAAACACCCGACGACCAAAACAAAGCCAAAAACGCACGAGGCAAAAGAATTTAGAGAAGCGAAGGACCCAAAAACTACTCGCTTGTGGCCCTGAGGTGTTGACTCTAATTGCAACACTGTTGTAGTAGCGGACGCTCGGGTCATGCTGCGCCTCAAGCACTCGAAACACTCAGGTTGGTCGGAAAGCAAAGGAGAAAGGTTCCAAGATGTTGAAGTGACATGCCTAGCATGCATTAGCATGACCTCTTGCCGGCCACCCTGCTAGGCTTTGCACTTTGGACCCACACATTTGATTAGCTGTCCTGCTGATTCAAGCCTCACTGACCCCAAAAACCTGTTCCATTGGGATGGTGACGTTGAAGGCAGTCGAGATCTCGTTCCGGATGTATTCTCGGCCCTGGCAAGCCAAGCTCTAGTCGTGGCTTTGGAATTAGGGAAAGGAGGAGTCACGAGGGGCAGTGACTCAAGGCACCTATATCCACAGCAAGAACGAATACAAAGCATCTAGGAATCTAGGGTAGCCCAAGCCAACATGTTCATTCCTGCTTGTGAGCACGAACGAGCACCACCTAAAAACAAGAAAAATACATGGCAGCTGTTCTAACTTTCTTTCAGCCTTCTCTTTCTTTTTTGCCCAACCTGAAGAGAAGGTACAGTAACGTTTGCCGCTCTGGCAACAGGTGGCGATCACAAAGCTGCAGTAGACGCAGCGAGGTCCACACTCGACTGGCTGCGTTTTCGACTGGCCACCTGCTGGGCACAAGCGGCAACAGGTGCGGCCATCGTCATGTTTCCCCTGGCCTGCGCCCTACGCATGTATATAGTCGTTCTTATCTTTTGTTCTCTACGTACTGTATACAGTATAATTCCTTCTGATTTGTCAAAAACGCGCAAAGGCAAGCAGAGTGTTCCAGCAGGTGGGCCGACTTCTCTAGTTCGGATTCTCATCACTTCCCTCAGAATGAGGTTGAACGTTGACTTAGCTAGTCTGGCCATGCAACCATGCCCTGACAAATTGAATTGCACAAGAATTTCCACCTGATCTGCAACACGCTGTACTTCGAAGAGCTCCAGGATGCGAGCCTGGTCTGAGCATTGCGTGCGTTTTTATTTGAAAGGCTTCAGCTTGCCCGTTGGGGACCGATGTGGAACTCGAAAAAGCAAAAGCTACCGCTGCTTGTTCCACTTGTAAATAAAGATGTTCTGAAAGGGTTGTACCGTATGAAAGTCTTCTGGCCAACCTTGTCAGTTTGGTCGAGCTCGCTGCCAGCCCCATCAATATCAACTGCTGCAGCCTTGCAATAGATGTGACGCAGTAGCATTGTGCGGCCGTTTTGCAAAATACATACACTGTGGAGTTTATGGTGAGTATCTGTTGATAGATTTGTGCGGCTGGGGGGGAGCCCGCGGCAACCAGTGAATCCTCACCAATGACAACACCGTCTTCACGGATAGGACAATGGCCCTATCCCGCGGCCCAGTGACCTAATATGCCCTGCATCACATTCATTCACAGCTTCCCTACCCTGGAACCACCACTCCTAAGCAGAAGCTGCTCATGCGATCTTCGTAGCACTGGACATTCCAGGACACTAGGCACTAGGGAACAAAATATCATGATCACCCACGGCTGCTCGTGCCAAATCATTACAGTGTCTGACAGGTGAAATTTGCACACTAATCAAGTTCATAAAAAGCATGCACCACTTGCACTAAATCACTGGAATGCTTGTGGCAGAAATGGTACACTGAAGTCCCATGCCGCCACAGCCGTTTTCTCAGCTCGTTGACTAGAATTGACTTTGATGGTGGAAGCTGTACACAGCGACAAGTAACGCGTCGCCTTGTTGAAACAGCAAGTGCGACGAGTCGCGGAACTATGTCGATGCACATGAATTAAACGGTGCATATTCCTACAACAAGAATAGTGTTGCAAACTCAACGCAAGACCAGTCTAACAAACTTCTTCTTGCCAAATAAGGTAGTTACTTTTGAGGGGCTCTCCCCACCCTTTGCAAGCCACGTGCTCCAGAAAGGTGATCGTAAGAGCTTCAAGAAAAGACGTTTGCCCATGGCCATTTCAGCCTGACGTGGCCAGACTCGTCCTGGCTGTGAGGTCCCACAGTCAACGTCAGCTGCTAGCTGCTCAACTGCTTCTTGAAAGTACGGTGCTAGCAAGTGTTTTTCCTCACTGAGCGTCTTGCAGCGAAAGATGTGCGCATTCTCCGAATCTGCCAAAGCATCCGCTAGATTCAGGAATTGCTGTTGTTGGCTTTGCCTCTTTTGACTCTCCTCATTGAGCCGTAGAGATTGTTCCGGAAACAAAAAGTCTCCAAAGTCAGCTGATACTACGGAAGTCTCTGAAGAGTTCTCCCAGGTGTGCCAGAAGGCCCAATACCACTTGCTCTCCGGCAGCACCATCACGCGATTGATATCCACATCGGACTCTATGAGTGCGGTGGGCTTCATGCTGCTTCCAAGGCTATTTGTGAAGCCAGATGCACCATCGGCCCATTCGCTGGGGTTGGTATAGCACACATCCACTGTGGTCTCACCCACCCAAGTGACCACAGCACTGTAACAAACCTCTCTTCGAAGCCCCAAATGGCAGCCCTTACTGAAGCTCAGAAACCTTCGATCCTGTCACATCAGGCTAAAGAGGATTGAAGAGAACAATGCAATTCTAGGCATGATTCTATACCGGATTACACCGGAATTAAAAGGGTCAGAGTCACAATCGACTGAACCTTGAAAAAGAATCAATGTGGGTTCTGTCCTGACAAGAGGCCTCCTCCAAACGAGCGATCTCCACCTCTGGCGGCACTGGTCCATCAGGCATGCCCCAGCCATCGCATTGACAGGATTGCCAAATGAAAGTGTCTCCTCGGCGTTCGACCCGGCAAAGATCTCCCGGCTTCAAATTCATTCTTGCCTCTTCTTGCACAAGCTCAGCACTGCTGAAAAGCGAACCCTCGCCTCCATCGGCACTGAGAAAGCTTCCGAAAATGTGCTCAAATTCGGGATTTTCGATGAGCTCAAGGTCATATGAATTGTTAATGCGAGGAAGTTTCACAGTACTGGCCTGTGTCACAATTTCATCCACAGCCACCTCTTGTGCTAAGTGGCTCGAGGCCTTTGAAACTGGGACTTTCGTCCGAAGGACTTCCCTGCTTCTAGGATCCTGCGCAAACATCACGATATTGGAAAGTGAGTCAGCCACAAAGCAGCGATGGACATGAGCGTTGGCATGGGAATCAACTGTGCTCTGCATCTCACTTGTGCGGATCAGCAAAAAGCGGCCATCTCGAAGTAGCAGAATGGCTTGAAGCTGTCTGGTCCAGAAGCTGTAGTGGAACCACGCTGCATTTAAAGCCAACACAGCCAGGACATCATCGGGTAACTTTGGCGCCGAGATATCACCAGAGTAACCTGGTACTGGCTCGCATTGCCTCCGGACCTCAGGCATATCA